CAGGAATTTTTGAGGGTCGGGGACGACGTCGGGGTGGTGTGGTGTATAGTTTTTGATCCGTTCTCTGGAAAAACAGCGGGAACTATATACACAACAGGGTGCCCTATACACCAGGATCCGCTTTCCTGTGCAGATTTCAGTGCAGGGCCAGCAGAATTCGTCGGTGTGTAGAGTTCGGTTCCCTGCCTCACTCTGTGCAGAGGGGGCCTTCCAGCTGGACGGGCCGACAGGCTGGCCCTCGGCAGGCGGCGAGGCAGTCGCACGGATTACCGGCCTGGCTGGCTGAAGGGTCGGAGTGCCGGGCTCCAGGCGGCAGGCGGGCCCCAAGGGGGGCGGCCAGGACCCCGCCTGGTGCCGAGGCGCTTGGCGCCCTGCCCTCCTCCGCTTCTCGAGGGCCGTGCCGCGGCCGCGGTGCTCGCGGGCCTGCGCCCGCCCGGCCCGGTCCTGCGCCCGCTCTCCTCGCGGGGTGCCTCGCCGAAACGGGGTTCCGCGTGGATTCAACGCGGATTCGACGCGGATTCAACGCGGGGCCGAAGAACTCGACGTGGACTCGACGTGGATTCGACGCGGATAGGGCCGCGACGGAACAGACACGGTCCCCCGAGGATGCAACGCAACGTCTGCCCCCGAGGGTGGACAGCTGCCGGCCTGAAGCACATCCGCACGTACCCATGATGGGCATCGCTCGGAGAGGAAAAAGCGCCATGAACATGAACTCTTGGCGCTCCTCGCGGACTCCTTGAATCTGCGCTGGCCCCCCCCCCCCCCCTGGCGGCACCTCCGGCGCCACCCCTGGCGCGCTCCGCGCGCCGGGGAGGGGGGTCCAGCGCAGATCCAAGAAATCCGCGCGGAGCGCCAAGAGTTTATGTTTATGGCGTGTTTTCTTTATCTACTGAAACACATCCGTATGTGCCCATGATGTAGGCGGTGGGGGCGTTCGTGAAGGAACGTGCCCAGGAGGCTTCAGACCCTGGAGGGTTCCTTATCTGATGAGGGCGGCGGTGGTATCCATGGCCAATCCACGATTGGCTTTCCACCGGCTTCCAGACCCTGGATTCCTTATCGAAGGCTTCTTTACCCAACACCATCACCGTGCGTAGCCATTTTGGCTCAAGTCTGCTCGGGCGACCGCGGCGCGGGCGGCCGAGAGATGGTGGCGGGGGGCTGCCCGCCGGAGAGGCGGCCCGTGCGCGTGGAGGAAGAGGCCCGGCTCGGTGCCACAGCAACGCGGCGCGAGGCGCGTCGCAGGCGGCTGATGGCTTATGAAGCTGGTCTACGCCGAATTTTTGGGGACAGGGGCGGAGCCAGGCTCGGTTCGCGGAGGGGTCGCGAGGCGGCACCCCGCCCAGCCCTGAGAGCGGCGGCGGCGGGAAGGAGAGTATGTGGCAGCTCCCGTCTTCGCCGCAACGTGGCGTGGCATGCTGCTCAGCCGCCCCCTGCGGGTTTGCACGGGCCTCGAGGGCGGGCCTCGCGCTGGCGGCAGCGGGGCCACGTCTGGCGGCCTTTGGCGGGAGCGCGTCTGGACCCGTGTGCGAGGCGCTGGAGGTGCAGAGTCAAGGAGCAGGCGGTGACGCGAGCGGAGTGTTGCAGCCCACCGAGGTGGTGTGGCAGCCGCTCGCGGCGCGCCCTTTCCAGCAGCTGCAGCCCCATGCCCGGTGTCTGGTCCGTTCGCGACGAGGTGGCCGAAGGCCGCGCGTTGGCATTCGGGCAGGGCCTGGAAGCTGGATGGCGGCTGGCGGCTTCCGCTCGCGAAGGCAGCGATTGGGTCTTGTCGAATGCGGAGGGCGTGGTCTTTGCAGACCCTCCTGCCCCCCTTCCTGGGCCTGGCCTGGACAAGTGCATCAGCCACCGCGTGCAGGACGATTGCGACCTCATGGGCGTCGAGGTCGTCGGGGTCGCCCGCGGCGCGGAGGGCGTTTGCTTCGGCGAGGCGGGCGACTCGTCTGTCGATGACTCGTCGGAGCTGCGCGCGAAGGTGGAGTGCGAGCAGGGAGTGGACAGGGGCGTCAGTCAGCCACCGCGTGCAGGACGATTGCGACCTCATGGGCGTCGAGGTCGTCGGGGTTGTCCGCGACGCGGAGGGCGTTGGCTTCGGCGAGGCAGGCGATTCGTCAGTCGAGGACTCGTCGGAGTTGCACGCGAGGGGTGCGAGCAGGAAGATGCCGAGGGCGAGTTGGCGAGCGGCTCCTTTGGCCCGCAGTGGGAGGCCGAGGCGGACGCCGAGCTCAGCGGCCTCGTGTTCGGCATCCTGGAGGGACTCGACCGCTCCATGGTCCACTACGTCGACCCCTGCTACGAGCTGCTCAGCGGGGCGGTATCCGCTCGCCTGGAGGTCATGGGCGTTGCGCGGTCGCCCTGGACTGATTGCGGGGTGCAGGCCTGCGTGTGTGGTTACGTGGATGGGGAATTGGGTGCGCAGTTTCGACCCCGGAGGTGGCAGAGCGACGGCCGCCCGCAAGCGGCCTGAGGCGGCTCCTCCTGCTGGCCCGCCCGCGGCCCCGCTGGCGCCAGATGGCGAGGCGGCGGCCGGGGCCGTGCGCCGAGTGGCCCGCGGGCTGCAGCTGGAACGCGCTCAGCCGCGAGGCGACGCCGAGCCGCAGCCCGAGGCCCAGGAGCTGAGCGGGGCGGGGGCTATGGTGGCTGCCGAGCCGAGCGCGCGGCCGTGGGCGGTCCGCGGGCAGTAGCTCATTGAGGGCCAGGTGCTCAGCAAGTCCTCCGAGCCCTTCCTCGTGTGCGCGGCGTGCTACATGTGCGCCAGGGAACTGAGGATGGCCTGGCCGGGCTTGCGCGACCCCTGCCATGGCGCGGAGCATCGGGCCAAGAAGGGCTCGCGTGCCAAGGCGAGGAACGACCTCGACAAGAGGGTTCTTTCTGGCACGGAGGAGGCGATCGGGGACCTCCAGCCGCCTTCGGCGGCCGCGCGGGAGCGCTGGGCCGAGAAGCTCGGCGTGGGCGCGGGCGCGGACCTGGGGGCTGGATCAAGCGGCCCTGGCCTGCCGCGGCGCGCGGGCGCTGGTGCGGAGCCTGGGCCAGTCGCGGTGGCGGCGCCGAGCTCGAGCCAGGCCAGCGGCTCGGGGCTCATCGCCCCTCCGCTCGCGAGCGTGGCCAGGGCCCGCGGCTTCGCGAGCGCGGAGGCTGCGCGGGCGCGAGGGCGAGAGGCCCGCGCCGAGCGGGGCGGCGCGCGGGGGCGGGGGGCCCCAGGAGGACGAGCCAGAGCTTTGAGTGGCTTGCTCCTGGGCCCCGCCTGCGCTTGCAAGCCGAATTGATTGCAAGGGCCCGCCGTGGTCCGTGAAGAGTTAAAAAATGCCATCACCGTAGCACCTTGCCTCGGCACGTCCCCGCGGCCGTCGTCGCCTTGGGCTTGCCGACCTCAGGGGCAGGATCTGCTCGAGGCTGGTCAGATAGGGCCGGGGCACTGGGCTAATCGGCGGCGAGCGAGGGGGGGAATGTGAGAAGGAAGAGGCCTTTTCAGAAGGCGGCGGGACTTCTCAGAAGCCCTCGGGCCTTCTGAGGAGCTTTCTTTGTGTCTCCGGGGAAGGATTAAGTAGGAAGCTTCTCGGAAGGCCGGGTGACTTCGGAGCCTTCTGAGAAGGCCCGCCCCTTCTCACTTCCCCCCTCGCTCGCCGCCGGGGAAAGCAACGACTCCCAAGCATCGCCCGCTCCCCGCGCCCGATCGGGGCCTTGGGTCGCGTCCTCCCCCGGAGAGCCGGGGGCCCCCCCATCGGGGCCTTGTCGCGCATCGTCGACGTGAGGCCATCGCTTCTTCTGGCGCAGCTCCTTGGAGGCTCATGTCAGCATCGGCCCTGGTCTACCCGAGGTGGAGAACTGGCATTCTGGCATCACCCCGTCTTAATTCGGCTTGATCATGGGATTGGTCCGGCCCAATCCGGCTTGGTGGCCCCATCTTCGTGCTTCGTAGCCCTTCGTGGTTCTTACCATGGCCTCCCAGAAGTTGCCTCCTGACGTTCCCCGCCCTCGACCCCTTTGTGGTTCCTGCAAACAGCCCCATGCACTGCCTCGCTGCATCGCGCCAGGGGAGACGTCATTGCGTTCTGCAAGCATTTCCCGCCGACGTTGCCTCCAATCAGCGAGCAACAACTAACGAAACCACCCCACCTACGGCCCTCCATGTTGCACTAATGCCCATCGGGGGCCCTAGCGTATACCATGCAGAAGCCCAAGCCAGAGTTCATGGTATACGCTAAGCCCCGTGGGTCCGTAGGGATGGTGGTGTCGTTGGTTTTTTGGGCCACCCAAATTATCAGCGCGCTCCCGCGAGGCCCCACGCGCGCGAATCCCAGGCGATGATTTCTCTCGGGAGGTCCTCAGGGGCCTGCTGGCCGTCGTCGGGGGGTCCTTTTGGGGCGGAGGCCTCGAGATGTGAGTTCGCAGTCGCTCCCCAGGCCCCTCTTGGGGCCCTCTCGGGGCCGTCTTGGGTGGTCCTGGGTGCCTCCTGGGCCATCTTGGGGCCCTCTTGGGCCGTCGTGGGGCTCTTTGGGGGACCCCTTGGGCCGTTTTGGAATCCCCCGCGCTCGCGAGCCCCAGACGACAGTCTTGCAGCCCAGCCCCGGCGTTCTTGCCTTCATCCGAGGGCGCGGGCTGGTTGGTGCCTCGCCGGGTGCCGCCCGGCAGGGCGTCCAACAAACCTGCTCGGGCGGCAGAGGCCCTCCTCTTCCCCGCCGTCCCCCGCCTGAGAGAGGCCGACGAGGACGAGGACAGCCCCTGCCGCCCTCTCCCCCTGCCCTGGGGGCGACGGCGAGGCATCCCCCCCTACCGGGGGCCAGCCCCCCTCCCCGGTCTCGGGGCTCGAGAGGCGGGGGCCCGTGCACACGGGGGTCAGTCCGAGCGCCGGCTCGTTGCAGGATCCTGCAGCGCCAGGGGTGCCTGGACCCGGGCTGGGGCGCAGGATCCTGCAGGACCCTGCAAATTCCTGAAGGCTCCTGCAGGGTCCTGACTGACCCGCGTTGGTTTGCGCTGACCCGGGTGAGTGCGTCCTGGAGGTGCAGGAGGCGCTCCACGCGGCCGCCGGCGACGCGGAGCGCGCGGCGCTGGCACTGGAGCTGCAGGGCCATGTCTGGGAGGTGCTCCTCCCTCCTCCTCCCTCCTCCTCCTCCTCCTCCTCCTCCTCCTTCTCCACACCAGTCGAGGCGTCGTGCTTATCCAAGCCTGGCACTGCGGTAAAATGAAGGCTCTCAGAGTCATCCATCGCATGTGCCCTGCTAGCAAAGCATGTTCAAAATGGCTGACGGTGAAGGGCAATCGGAGGGCCCCTGATCGCATCATCCCATCTTGCTTGCACGGTGGTCTGCGCCATGGTCGGCGTGAAGACGCCATACTCGTCCAGCACATCAGCAGTTGGAGACTCACAAAACATGACAAAAGTCACGCCACAGTTTTTTATGGCCAGACCAACGCGTTTGATTGCCTGCGCCTTTGACACGTTCGATGAGACCGATCGGCTGCTTTTATCCCGGCATCATCAGCCGTTTGGTTGTCAAATGAATCACGAGAGGTATGTTACCCTTGATGCGGCTGACGGTCCGTGTCATTTCAAGATTGGGGAGGGTGTCCTCCAGGGTCACCAGAGCGCCCCTCTCAAATACATCTGAACTTCGTTTCGCACTGTGCTGTACTCTTGGTTAGTTTTCTCCAGCAGCTCCCAGCAGGAACTAGTCTTGAGTGCACGGATCCGTTCACTGGCACGGCCGTGGATCTGTCGACCACAGTTGTTGTAGATGGCATCGCTCGTAAGCTGGTTGCGCCTACTGTGGACGGCCTGCTTTCGCGGATCCAGCCAGCGAGCGCCAAACTTGATGAGCTTCTTGGTGCTGTCGGCGGCGCTCAGAACTTGGCGAAGCAGCAGATTGTAGTCCGTTTCGTGGGTCGCGGAGCAGCTGGTCGTCATCGTGCTTTCTTCTACGGAGACGTTCCAGTGGCCGGTAGAGTGAGCACAAATGCCACTTATTTGGGGGTTCAATTCACTGGCAACCTCAACACAGCCAAACACCGTCGCCTAAAAACAATCTGAGGCGTGGGTGGTACTCCATGGGGTTGTTCTGGCACGCTGACGGGGTCTCCCGTCGAATACGTTTATTGGTCTTTCAGGCCCGTGTCCAATCTGCAGCCCTCCGTGGACTGGAAGCGTACGTGTTGCTGCCCGTCGATTACGAGACCATTGATTCTCTTCTCCTCCATTGGGGCAGACAGATCTTGCGAGGAGATGCGGTCCCCCAAAAAGATGCCTCAGGCGGAGGGAGCCACCAAGCACATCCGCAAGACGGCCAAAGATGTCTGGACTGAGCTGAAGATGGTCCCGGGGAGACCGCGTCTGGGCCCTGCGGCTCGTCTACGGACGCGGGCCCGGGTGAAGGACGTGGGGGCCCTCAGCTGCGTGGGCGGGCGTTCGGCAAGCGAGCGAGCGGGGGGTGGGCGAAAAAAAGAAACTGGAACTGCGAGTGCGTCGCCTTAAATGGCTTCAGTCGATTGTGCGGCAGCCTGTTCGGAGCGTCCAGGTCCGGGCGCCGCTCTGCGGCACGGTGCCCCCCGCCGCGCACCCCACCCTCGACGGCAGAGCACTCTCTCGTGATCCTGACGGCACCTTTCACGGCAATGCCCTGGGCACTCCAGGCAGAGCGTAATTCAGGAGGGGAAGAAGCACACAGACACAACTAATCGCCGACTCGCAGGAAAATATGGGAAAATATGGGAAGTGGGGGGAAGGCAAAAATCAAGAAAATATGGGAAAATATGGGGAGTCCTGTTATTCGTGTGTATTTATTTGTGTGTCCCAGGGCCCCTTCAGTAACATCTTGAGCGTTGATAAGTTCGACGATGGTGCGAGCCTGCTGGGGCAGATGGGCGGGGAGGTGTTCCGCACTTTGGACGAGCAGTTGGTGCAGGGTTTCTGTCGGTTGGACTTTTCAACTTTGCGATCCAAGTATTGGGCGGTTCAAGTTGCACCGATGGGCGTCTCCTCCTCCTCCTCCTCCTCCTCCCCTCCTCCTCCTGACCTCGATCCTGAAGGGGATCCGCATGACCAAGTATGGCTGTGCATGGAGATGACGGACGGGGGGCAAATATGCGGATTGGAATTTGCAGATAGAGCGGGTTGGTGGGCGCATATGCGGCTTGCACGTGGCGGAACGCACGGGCGCCCTGAGCAGCATCCTCACTGTCACTAATGCGTCCGCGTAGTGCCACGCCCGGTTCGATGCGCGAGCCATAGCGCAGCAGCGCGTGTATAATCCGTTCATTCGTCATCGGTGGCGCGCTGACTTGAGCCCTTTCAATCATTCCGTCCAAGCCAGCGGAGAGTGTCCAGAGACGTTTGAGGCTCTTCAGAGGCATGTTCAGAGCCACGTTGCCTTGCCAGCAGGCGCGTTTCTTGAATTTCCCGTCCATGGCGTCGTGGATGCTCCCGCCCCCAACGGAGGCGAATCTGCAGGACGCCAAGAAGAGGACCTCAGCCACCGCCTCCTCCGTCTTGGCTCCAACGACGCG